AAAAAAAACAAAAAAGAAGAAGAAAAGTTGCGGTCGTGAACCTCAGAAAAGAATTAAAAAAAAAAGGAAACAAAGCTCTGGTCGTGATTGCAGTTGTATACATTCTTGGAAGTGGTAGTGTGAGTGTGCCCTCAATGAGGGCATCTGAGCCCCGTGGCCAGGTTGTCAGATTCCAAAAAGAGAATAAAAGAGGGGAAAAACGGGCACATGGATCTGACCGTGAAAATGGCTGGATACATTCCCCTAAGTGCCAGTGTGATGAGCCTTACAATCCCTCTGACAAAACACAGCTTGAGCAGATCACGGACAACTTGAGCAATTCACGGACAGGGGACTCATAAGAAACACACGACCAACAAAAAAAAGAAAACAGTAACATTCAGAATGTGACCGCCTTACCTGTCAGGTGCATTCTGTGGAGGAAGATTGTGAGCATGGCCTCCTGGACTACCCAGCCTGACAACATTCAGTAGAGAGCATTTTGTTTCCCCCTTTTTCCTGGACTATAAAATTCAGATTTATGGGACATTGCCGACCTTGAGTCCCACCCCGAAAAGTTCGGGTACTGGCTAAGACATCGTAATTTCTTAACACTGGCGGAGGTACTGGTGGTTTAATGCTATCATAGTGAAGAATGCCGAACCACTACCTCATATAGACGATTTGTTAGACCGGGTGCAAGGCTGCAAGTATTTCTCAAAGATAGATTTAAAGTTCGGCTATCATCAGATAGAGGTTCACTTTGATGATCAGTATAAGACAGCATTCCGGGCTAGATATGGGCACTATGAGTTTATAGTTATGCCGTTTAGACTAACCAATGCGCCAGGGACTTTCCAGCGTTGTCTGAACGATTTGTTTAGGCTGTGGTTAGATAGATTTGTTGTAGTGTATCTGGATGATACTCTAGTGTTTAGTAAGACCCTCCAGGAGCATGAGGGTCATCTCAGGCAGGTCTTGGAGAAGCTTAGAGAAGCTAACTTCAAGATCAACGCAAAGAAGTGCGAATGGTCCAAGACGCAAGTGTTGTACTTGGGCCACGTCTTAGACGGAGACGGCGTTAGACCTGAAGATAGCAAGGTTGCAGCGTTTAGAGACTGGCCAATGCCCCGCACACTGACAGAGTTGTGGTTATTCTTAGGCCTAGCTAATTACTATAGGAAGTTCGTCAGGAACTTCTCCACCATCGCTGCACCCCTTCGCAGGTTGCTAAAGAAACAGGCAATCTGGAAGTGGGACAAGGACTGTACAGCTGCCCTGAAAAGATTAAAGCATGCCCTGATAGAATATCCAGTCCTTAAGGTAGCCGATCCGTCCCTGCCTTGGATATAGGTGCTGTTAGTATGGCATAGGTGCTGTTTTACAGCAAGACGATGGCAATGGATATAGGCCCGTAGAGTTCTCGTTTGTCAGGATGCCTTCAGAGAAGGTGGCGACATCCGCCTATGAGAGGGAACTCTACGCTCTCATGCAAACATTAGATCACTGGAAGCACTACTTGCTTGGGAGGCACTTCAAAGCATGGTAACCGCCCGGACGTCCGGACTGGGTTCCAGACAGTCCGGTGTCCGGTGTCTGGTGTTCGGTGTCTGGACAATATGTGTGGATTGAGGCCTCTGGGGCAAAAATCAAAAAAAAAATTGTGGCGGCCCAGGACGTTTATCGGGTCCTGGCCGCCCCTAGAAAAATAATGGGTTGATTTTTCAATGTCGTTTCACCCCACCGGACAGGGCCTAGAGGTCCAGACACAAGACACTGCAGGTTTTGGGGTGGCGGGTTTCGCACAGGCCCGAGCAACTTCAAAGCGACGGTTTCGACGTGGAGCCAGCTGCTGCTGCCCGTTGGGGGGGGGAGGGG